AAATACACCAACTGAAACTAGCTGGCCTCAAATATTTTCATATTTTTTGTAAAGTTTGTAAAACAATCTTAAAATATTTATTCCATTACCCTTGTCACTTAGAAATTAAATATTTTTGATAGTAAAATTATTTTGATTTAAACAATGCTATATTCTGTTGTAATTTCTGCTTGTTCAATATCTTTTGTTTTTAGCACAATATTCTGAAGTGGGTTGATATGGTCTATTTTAAATTTGCTGTTTTTTTCTAAGATATCAAGCTGTTTCAAATTTAGAGGAAGTAACCTTTTTCCTTTAGAAGAAGAATTGTTTTTAAGATCTGGTGTAAAATATGTGATATTTTCATTTTTAATTCCCAATATTCAATTTAGTATTATTCAATTTTAAGTATATGACATTTCATGTGTCATACTATATATACTAGCAAAACATCTATCAGTTGAAATGTCATTTTCAAATGGATTTTGAGAACTTGTTTGTTAAATTAGTTTCTTTAGTGGACATTAGATGTATATTGGAAGAAAGAAATAGGCCAGTTCCTCCAATCTGAGAGTAATTTTTATAGGTTTGGCCTTAAGATGTTTCTTGTCATCTGATTGTAAGGAGTAGAAGAAGCGTGTTTCTTTACTCTGAAGTTTACTCTGCCCACTTGTTAAAATTGATTAATGCATTGATGTGGGTCACTGATGTACTGTATCTGATGTAAAAAAAACACCTTGGCATTACCCGTTGCTCAGCATCTTAAATGTCTGTGAATGTTAAGGTACTACCCTCCTCTGATAATAGGTGAGACTTGACATGCTCTGTTGCAAGTTGCCTCACCTTTCAGTTGTGTGCTACATTGAGCTAGGGTTTCATTAATTGTAATAAAGGCAGTTTGGTCATCAGAAAACTAAAGAAACTTGACTTCTTTCTTTGTTATAACTTGTAGGTTTGGTGTGCCGTGCCTATTGGAAGTGTTCAGATTTACGTTCTGAATGTTATGGCCTCAACAACAGCAGCTTTTGTGTTGCCTCTCATATTCACAGCTACTAATTAGCAGTGGTTTATGCATCTAATGGGCAGTCAACTTAAAATCTTGACTGTTTATTTTATCTAGTTAATGTACCATTGTGCTTTTCATATAGTGCTAAGCTCGTATAGAATGATTGCATCAAAAATGTTTTATGATAAATTCTGTAGCACTTTCAAATTCAGTTAATATTTTGGTATGTTATTAACATGAGGAATTCCTGTGACACTTTAAAAACAATCTGAATGTTTAATAACTTGTGAGCTGTGTAAACATTTACATTTAAATTTTTTTGTCACCTTCGAATAGTAAATAAGAATTAAGCTCTTCAAAAGTTGGCTTTTGTGGCCAACTAGACTTTCAGTCTATGCCATACTGAACTTGACAGGGACAAGGAATTTTTTATGAAAATACTTCAGAGTGGTCCCAGAAGGTCCACAGAAATAGATACAAGAAATTATGAAAGACAGTAGGGCAGTCTTTCTGTCAGTGGCTCCTGCCAACATTAAAAGCTCCAGCAGGGTGGGGTGTTGTTGCACTATGGGATGATGCACGTTGTCTCTCTTCCAGGAGGAGGTTTTGCTCCTCCCTGTTTTAAAAAAACAGCAGTTTCTGGAAATAGATTTTTTTGACGTAATGTAGTTATCACAGCTGGTGATACGAGCTTAAAAGAAACAATAAAAATAAAGCTTGTTTTTAAATAAGTGCTGTAAATACTAAGTACACACAAAACATGTTACCAACTGCAAGCCTTGCCCCGTATGAGGTCTGTGGCCCATTTTTTAGTCTGACTAACAGAATTAGGGTGATGTAGATATCACCAAGATGTTTTTCTGTTAACTACATTACATGACTCACACACAAATACATAGTGTACCAGCCCCATTGCTATATATGGACCAAAGTTGGATGTTACTGTAGATGTAGAGTCAGGAGAGAAAACAGAGCAGGCTTTGTTTGGAGAAGCCTAATAAACCTAAGTCTTTGCTTCCTTGTGAAGATGTGAGCAGGACACCAAACACTGTTCTCTTTCTGTTAATGACAGATTAGCTCTTCTAGGTTATAAATGTATAATACTATTTATATCTTGGTTGAGTATGCATAATTCCAAATTTTGGGGAAAAATATCTAATGAATATGATAATACAAAAGTGGTCTTAAGGGATAGATACAATATTTTACAATCCATCAATACTACAAAAATGCATTCTAGAGTTATTAATTCAGTATTAAAAAATGTTGCTTTGTATCTGCTGGTGAAAAATCTATATTCGCTATTAAGTTACAGTGACTACATCCAAATTGTGGCTAAGTAATGTGGAAATTTAGATACCATTTGTGGAAAAACTACATTGTGAAAATCCTAAACAGAAGTTTCAAAATTCATGTATATTAAACTACTTGCAGTCCACTTAAACTCCTGACGATTTTACAGTATGTATTGTATGGTGCAAAGAAATCCGAAGTTTAAAAGGCTGGCCCTTGCTTGGGTAATTTCTGCTGTTAAAAGGATGGTTTGAAAATGTCCAGAATACAGTACCATTATAGTGGTCTTTTGTTCAGCTCAGAATGTAATGTGTGTTCACAGGCACAGTGTTGTCATAAAGTCTGTTGCATTTTAACTATAACAACTGTTGTACAATTGTTTTGTTTTCTATTCCCTTAGATCTTAATATGTGACTTCATTTGCAATCAAATATCACACTGAAAGCATAGCCTTATCAGTTTTAATCCTTTCTGTATGTTTTTTTTATGTGCTGTCTATAAGCAGAATATATTTGTATTTAAGTTATTGTACAGAAGAAGGCCATCACCACCCTAACACATACTGTAGTAGCTTGAATGAGGAACACATTTGTAAGAATCAGAATAAAGATACAGGAGTGATTTCACTCCAGCAGTGTTCTCTGTTATGTAGACCAACTTGCTTTCTTGGCCCTGGCTCTGTTTTTTTTGTGCTCTCTTTCAGAATGAGATGTGTTTATATTGTGATAAAGCCCTGAGCAGCTGAGCTATGTCGCTATTTTACCATGAGAGCTGTGAGTGTTGCCCAGTCCTGGTAGTGATCCAAACAGGAATGTCTATTGTGGTCGGCTGTGATTCCTGCTTGGGAGATTCTGACCTCACTTAAAATGCTGTTTTGCGATTTGCGTTCTATTGAAGTGATGTGATGATTTCCTTTCATGGTATGTTGTAAAGCTTTCTGATGGTTTTTTCATTAAACATTTGGTACTGGACAATAATGATTGAAACATCAAAACTGTTGTAATAGTGTTTAGGAGCCCAGTAAAATATAACTGTCACATAAACAGATTTGTGTAATCAACTAAAAGCTGTATTCAGTCTTTTACAGCTATGTTTTAGTACTTCATTTTTAAGATTCTATACCTGTGTAGTGTCTTTGTAAAAAGATTTATATTGTTACAACATTGGGGTATTAAATTACAAAACTGGGAGGTTATTCAATCAATTTAAAATTGTACTGACATCATCTTGCTCAGCAAATAAATTAATAATGTCCTGAGTTAGGGATTGCAAATCATTACATGAAAACAATTTGTTTTTGCTCTCAGCCATAGCTTAAAAGAGTAATAATCATGCTCAAAAGTAATGTTATTAGAGTAATACTCAGGATAAATATTAATTAGCAGTAACACAACTATGAAAAAAACAATGTTTTTTTATAGGTAACTCTATAAACAGATTTGTACATTTCTGTGAGTTCCAAGAGCTATACCTTTTGGAGACTTAGACTCTTTATTCTGTCCCTAAACTCTTAATACACAAAATGCCTTGATAGAGCAATAATCTTTGTGTTAATGAAAGTGATTGTAATTAGCGTTAAATATCCTCAAAAATATATGTGGATCCATTTTCCTATTCTAACAGTGCATCACTAAAAATGGGAGATCATTTTTTCAGTTATATTTTTCATACTTTCTAATATAGGACCACAGGTTCTCTTTTATAATAAGTCTGGTACTTGTTCAGCATTCAGCTTACCTTGAGAGAAGGGAAGATAAGATAAGATCACGTTATTGGCCATATACAATTTCTTGCTTTAGGAATGTCTTTTCGCATACCCTAGCTTGCTCTCCATGAGACAAACAGGCAAATAGACACAGATGGAGAGAGAAGCCTGGGGTCAGAGCACAGGGTCAGCCATTTATACGGCGCCCCTGGAGCAGCTGGGGTTAAGGGCCTTGCTCAGGGGCCCAACAGAGTAGGATTCCTCTGCCAGCCATGGGATTTGAACTGGCAACCTTCCAGCCACAGGCGCAGATCCTTAGCCAAAGATGATACATGATACTGTCTTTCCTATCCTTGCTTTTTTCCCTTTCTGTATGACTTCTGTATGGGTTTGTGCTATGGTCTATTCCATAGTGAGTTTCTGTCTTAATGACTTCACTTGAAATTGCCCAGTGACTGTTGAATATTTATGCGTTAATATGGTTATCTTAATGACATTATAACTTGCATAAACATTTGACAGCTGTTTAAATACAGAAACATAACCATTGTTCCAACACTTCAAAATAAAGCAATCAAGATGGTAACTGCAAACATGCTAATCTTTCATAACTACAACAATATTATATATGTAAACTGTTGCTCAAACTGAACTTTCAGAATGTAAGGGTCAGCCTCAGTAATGTATAAGTATAAATTATAATTACAGAGCATTTCAGATTTGTAAGCTGTAATTAGTTTCTTGGGCATCAGGCAAGATGTGAAACTTACAATACCAGACATTATAAACATTCTGCAAATGTATGATACTGTCCACTTAGTGTTGGAGTAACGTGAATAGTTTATTTTATCTTAATTTCTCAGTTTCATAGTCTTAGGGTTACTGTATGTTATTTAAATTATTAGATGAGCATGTAACTGCACTTGAAAACATAAATCAATACTTGTGCTTAGAGAAGAGTGCTCAGGAGTTTATTTTTGGTAAAACTCATTTCTGTTTTTTTTCCCCCTTAACTAGAGTGACCGGCTGTTGATCAAAGGAGGTAAAATTGTGAATGATGACCAGTCTTTCTATGCTGATATCTATATGGAAGATGGACTTATCAAGTAAGTGTTTCCTACAATTTGTTTCTTTCTTGGTGTGAATGCAGCCTTCACAATTACGATTGCAAAGAGCTGTGTAGATGCATTGATAGTGGGACGTCATGACTGAAACATTCTTGGATCGTCTTACCCACTTAATTTTAGTACATGAGTGGATTGCATTGGTTTTGAGTGTTGTCATTTTGAATCTGTTCACCCAGAGTATAACAATCTAAGCCTTGTTTAAAAGTAATTGGGATTCATTGATGCATAAGGTACAGCAGGTTTTCCCAACTCAGTTCTCTGAGAACCCATTGTCTTATGGTTTTTGTTTCAACCTCATTAAAGGTACAGTTTCCAATAACACACCGTAGGCCCTGGTTGGAAGTATTAGTTATGCAGTTAATTAAGTAATGAAACCAACTAAGAACCTTGGTGGCACGACAACTGGCATACACTATGTTGCCCTAGAATTGTATTGGAGTATGTCTTTGAATGCACTAGATTCATCAGTGGAAATTGTTTTCTAGTTTTGTGACTATTTATGACTTGAAGCAAGATTTTATACAGCTGGGGGGAGCACTAACACAAACGCTCTTTCTTAGACAAATTGGAGAGAACCTGATTGTTCCTGGAGGGGTGAAAACCATCGATGCCCATGGCCGCATGGTAATTCCTGGCGGGATTGATGTACATACTCGCTTCCAGATGCCAGACCGGGGCATGACAGCAGCAGATGACTTTTACCAGGGCACCCGCGCCGCACTTGCTGGGGGAACAACAATGATCAGTATGGCTGACTTACTAATTCTTTGAATGTTTTAGGGCAGGTGGAGTCAAATATCAGGCCTCTCATTTTAAATCTTCAGGACAGCCACATCTTGAATTCTCAGTTTACCAAACAGTTAGCCAAACTAACAATTTTTTGTATGAAAAATGTATAAAGAGATGGTCTGGTATTTGAGCTTCCCTCATAGTCTTTTGCCTAATAAAAGTTTCAGTTTCAGCTTTAATAATAAGGGAGGAAAGGAAAGAAAATTTATTATTGTTGGATAAATTCTGGAATACTTGGAAGAACGAGTCATTTATAAAACAATTATTGACTGCTCGTTTACTGTATGTTCTTCTTTTTATTTTTTTGTATTTGCACTTTATACTGTACTTTTATGGCCTTGTCTGAGACATACTTTTTTATTTCAATTTAGGTCATGTACCATTCATGTTAATTTAATATAAATTTACATGTACTAAGGCTTTCTGATGCATGTTTTGGTGGTGGTAAAAAAAAAAATGATAACCATGTGGTAGTACTCAACCCTGGGGGCAGAATATGATGGAGATTCTTTGTTTGGGCAGTTGACCATGTGGTTCCTGAGCCTGGTGTCAGTCTGGTGTCTGCATTTGAGCAGTGGCGTGAATGGGCAGACAACAAGTCCTGCTGCGATTACTCGCTGCACGTGGACATCACAGAGTGGCACAGAGGTGTCCAGGAAGAGATGGAGACTCTGGTGAAGGATCATGGTATGTCCTCATTCTATTTTTGCTGCTAATATATTGTCTGTACATTTTTAATCTCTTACATTATTCTCCTTAGTTTAGAATACGGCTAACTTATCTTCCCTCAACCCTGACTTTTTATTCAGTTGCCAGTAAATCTCTTCCAAGTGCTTAAATTCTATTGCTTCCTATAAAGAAGTTCCCTGATAAAAGCTCTGCTAATGTAGTATTTTGTCTTTAGGTGTCAACTCTTTCCTTGTCTACATGACCTACAAGGATGTTTTCCAGCTTTCTGATTCCCAGGTATGATTGGATATCTTCAAGTTGCAGGAACATGGATATAAACATCGATTCCCATTGCAGACTAGTTTGATCCATTTTAGGAGCTTGAAGGCTCTTTTCATGTCTTCTGTATGCAAATCTAAAAGACAGTAACAATTTTGAAATTGCTATTATACAATGTTAGTTTACATAAGATCTTGCAATTTACAAAACCTGGAATGGATGTTATCACAAACTTGGATTTTTTTCTCACCTTTTCTATTTTTCTCATTTTATTGTTGACAAATATTTTATTTTTATAGCACTGTAGGTTAAAGGAAGAGGTACATTTGCCACCAAAGCAGGGAACTAACATACTGATTCTATTTAAAAGAAAAAAGACAGTGCTTTCTTACCACAATCAAGTTTTTACTCAAATGTCTTGGTTGATGAGTTGGTACTTGTGAAGATTGAAATCTGAATTAAATTTCCATGCTGAAGCACTTATGGGAATATTTATTTGTGGTTTTGTCACCAGAGATTATTGGTATTACATCTACACAGAAAGCACTTCCTGTTTTCTGTGACTTGTTACAGCTGCATAATCATGTTAGAAATCATTTGCAGAAATGCAGCAATTGAAAAATAAAAACATTGACCTGATAAAATAAAACTAATGTATTTCAATTATATTATAAAAAAAGGCTGAAGACTATTAATATTAATCCTCACTTGTCTTTCAGGAATTTCCTAAAAGAGTAAATCTCCAGTTCATTATCTGCTTAAAGCAGGGTGAAACAGTTGAAAGGAAAGATGAATAATAAGCTTGTTAGATATATGAAAATGGAGTTAGTAGATGGAGAGGACATTTATTTTGAATAAACCCTCAGAAATATGAAACTCTATAATGCTACAGACGTTTTGTATGTTTTGTTCCCAGCAGGAAATTGTTTTCCTTTATATAAAGTTGCACTAAAATTTAGATTTATAAGTTGACATTTTCACACACGATACTGATCTGAGTTCTTTCAGTCCCTGATGAGGTTTTCTCTTTCAGATTTATGAGGTCTTCAGTGTGATCAGGGACCTGGGTGCTATTGCACAGGTCCATGCAGAGAATGGAGACATCATTGCTGAGGTAAAACACCAGAATCAGTCTTTATTTTAATATGAACTAATCTTTTCCAGGTGTATATAGCCTCAAAAGCTTATTACAGTATTATTATGTGTCTTTGTCCTCTGGTCATCTACATTGTCATGTCTGTTTAATTGAATTTGCTCACTGTGTGCAATACAAAAATGCTTCTTTTCATGACTATAGTGGTAGAGTTGTAGCGCAGGGACTTTTTTCTGATTATAGAAGCGGTTAACATTTTTGGGAAGCGCATGCATTTGTTAGATAGTTTCCACAGACTGCCTAGAACCAAGGAGAGGAGCTATGAATCCTAAATTAGAAATGACTTCACTGATAAGAAACAAAACTAATACTGTTTCACTAAGATTTCAAGGCAGTCCAGTCTTATTTAAAGAAAGATTACTACTGCTTCTCTTACTTTGTTATATAAATATTGTGATATAATTGGCTTATAAGTGGTTTCCTCTTGTTTTTAACTTATTTTTTCTCTGTTACGGTTCTTGTTGTTTTGGTAATAATTCTGTTGTTTTTACAGGAGCAGCGCCGGATTCTAGAGCAGGGGATCACGGGGCCAGAGGGTCATGTGCTGAGTCGTCCAGAAGAGGTACAGATTTCCTCTGCCCTCAACAGCCAGGGTTTTAGCAGGCGTCTCTCAGCATTGATGTGCAGTACAGCACTTGAGAAGTTCAGACCTTTGCCAGTGTAAAAGGAAAATGTTCTCCTAATTTTCTAGAAGAAAAATCTTTAATCAGCAATTAATGGATAGTATTACTGTGGCTAGACATCCTCAGATGTCCATTTCTCCGTTATTAGTGATCACCACGGTTTGCAAGGTTTCTTTACAAAGGAAATTTATTGTGCTAGTTACAGTACGACATTACTCGGTCCTTTTTAAGACTATCGGCTCTTTACATTAAGGTTATCTGTGGTTACAGAACACAGACTAGTTTGTCTGATGCGAAGTGTTTTGATTCGATTCAGGTGGAAGCTGAGGCTGTGAACCGTGCCATCACTGTTGCCAACCAGACCAACTGCCCACTGTACATCACCAAGGTGATGAGCAAAAGTGCCGCTGATGTCATTGCGCTGGCAAGGAAGAAAGGTAAGTCCTGTAACCTGTCCCAGAACAAGTATGGTTTTAGTGTATTTAATAATGGTATTTAGCATTAGATAAAATATACTTGTCCCAAACAAAAATAATAAGAAAACAAGCATTATGGAGCATTCCTAAAGTTAGGAAGCCAATTTTTTTGTAATTATACCTTGTCATTTTTAGTCCACATCAGTGATGGATCTACATTCTGATATTTAAAACCTTACTGTGACACTTGTCTTATTGGAATCTTACCTGAGGATTGTTTACTTCAACATCAAGTGATGACTTATGTGTACCCTAGTGCTTTAGTCAACATTTTCTCAAAGCCATTCTTTTCATTTTTTGCACTTTGCTGGTGCAGGCACTGTGGTATATGGAGAACCCATCTCGGCTAGCTTGGGTACCGATGGATCTCATTACTGGAGCAAGAACTGGGCCAAAGCTGCTGCTTTTGTTACATCTCCCCCTCTGAGCCCAGACCCCACTACCCCTGACTATCTCAACTCTCTTCTCTCCTGGTGTGTGATCTTAACTTGTTTACTTAGATCTGTTGAAATCTGGGGCTTTAAATCCTAAGAGTTGTATTGATAACATTATTGACAAATGTGGACTGCTTGCTAAAAAAACTTTTTGTGTTATGTACAGTTTTTGTAATTTATAGCAAAATGTAATCAAATGTCATTTGCTGAATGTTTAGATTTACAGTTGAACAAATGCACTTCATAAAAATTCATACAGAGGCATAATACTCTTGCAGTAGAAAACCCTTACCTAAACGTACTGTTGTATGCTGTAGAGCTAAGCCATGTCAAGCACTGAATCCCCTATGTGACTCTCTCCTCCACAGTGGTGACCTGCAAGTGACTGGCAGTGCTCACTGTACTTTCAACACTGCCCAGCGTGCTGTGGGTAAAGACAACTTCACACTGATCCCTGAGGGCACCAATGGCACTGAAGAGAGACTCTCGATTATCTGGGACAAGTCTGTGGTAAGAAAATACGGTCTCCCCCTTATAGAATTTTTTCCTTATATCATGACTAGTTTCTTAGAAACTCTGTAGCAGCTAAGATTTTATCTTTTTCTCAAGTGTGTCTTCAAATTTAATTATAAAATGAAGTGTTGAGTGAATAATTTAGTGTATTAATACCAGAGAATAAATGAATGTTTATATGTTATTTTTTAAAATTATTCTGGTATGAAAAAATGATCAGCTATTGGGTTGCAGTTGAATTAAATAAATTAAGTAAATTTACAGTGTCTTATACAAATTGCATTACTTGAGTGCATTTAGTATATTATTATTGTTGTGTTTTGCATTAACATCCAAGTTGATCTAATCATTATGCTCTTCAAAAACACCTATCATGTTTTCTGTACGAAACACCCCACAACAACGTAGCCTGTTGAAGACTTTGAAAGGAGAAAATGTCCTGAAACAAACAACCACTCTCACATTTCTCTTTTGTCCTGCTGTACCCAGTTCTTAATGGAGCTTGTGTATATTTTTTCTTCTATATTGGAATCTCCAATTGGGATTCATGGGCTTTATGGGTATAAAAAGAGGAATATAGAAGTGGTTAGTGCTGGGGAACGGGCAATGGTTCAGGATTTAATTGCTCTTACTGTCATTTAATTTACTCAGTCTGCTGGCCTTATCCCAAAGCGCAGTGCATGTAGAAGGGATTTTATTTATTTTTTTTGCTGCAGCTAACTAATTAAAAGCTATAAAAACTTTTATAGCAATTAGTAAATTGTGCATAAATGTACACTAACAAGATGCTTTTGATCAGAGAACTTAAAATTGACTTTAGACAAAATCATGCTAAGATCTGTTTCGATCCAGGAATCTTCATCAGGGAATTCAGACCTTCTTTTCTGGCCTTTATGTTGTGTTAAAACTTATTTTTTTGAACTAAGGCCATCAATACCCCTTTTCTGGTGATATGTTAACTTTTCTGTCTCAATAAAGTTCTCTGATTTGTCACTGGGGTGTTATAGGTGTCAGGGAAGATGGATGAGAACCAGTTTGTTGCAGTCACCAGCACTAATGCTGCCAAGATCTTTAACTTGTACCCACGCAAAGGCCGCATTGCGGTGGGCTCTGATGCTGACCTGGTCCTGTGGGATCCAGACACTGTCAAGATCATCTCTGCCAAGAGCCACAATCTGGTGAGTGAGCCAGAACTATGTGGAATTTAAGAAATTAATTTCAACATGCATACCTCTGATTAACTGTGCCACAAATACTAACTACATCTTATCAGAGTTAGATAAAATAACTATAATTGCTTACATCACTTAGTTCTTCTGTCAAAGTAAATGGAAAATTAGATTTTGATTTTAATTGTGAAACATTAATGTTATTGTAGTATTAGAGAGTGGGGTGGTTTTGAAAATGGAGAATAAACAGGAATTGATCTACTGGATTAGTCAATAATAAAAGAAATATTCATAACCCCCAACTTGTAAGTGATTTATGACAGAATATACCCAAGTGGTTGGTATAGTTAGAGGCACTTGAATTTTCTGTTCTCTGACACAGCTTTGATAAAAAGAGTAACACTCTAGGCACACTTGGTTAAACAAATGTTTATTAACAATGACATTATAAACACTGCACAAAAACATAAACATACAACACACATTTCTGTATTTGCATGTTTACAGAAAAGGCATTCCAGTGGCCTAACGTCCTAATTGCCCAGAAAACCCCAAACTGTTACCAAGTACTAATCTCTAAAAATGTCTACAGAGGCCAAAATAAGAGATCAACTGTATTCCAAATAGAATGCAATGGAACCTGCAGTTAAATTTCTTTCTCTGCAAACCACAAAAAATGGGAGCCCATCTCTCTATTCTGAAAAAAGCACCCCTAAGCAAGGCCATTTTTAACCAAGGTGTTATTGACTCAGGAAATCAAAATTCCCTAAAAACATAGAATAGCACTCTCTCCCTAGCAAGGTTCAAATACTTAGCTCCATTTTTGTTCTAATAATCATGAAGCAGGGGCTCTTGCCTGGCGCAAGCTTCAAGTACCCTCTCTTTTTCTCCTGTCATGCAGTCTCCTTTCTTTTCTTCTTTTTCTCTTCTCCTTTTTTACTTCCTAATCTGATCTTATATGGTGTGTTTCTGGACTGTTGATTGACACTTATCCACAACTTAATTAACTAAGGTAAAACCAAGGTAAACTTTATGATGTGCTTTGATCAAAGACTCTGGGCCCACATCTCAGCAAACATCCCCTCTGCTTTGAAGCTGGAAATGTTTACACTGCCAGGTGTTACACAGTTTAAACTCTTAGTAACACTTCCTAGTCGCCTATAGCTGTAAGAGTAGGTTACGCAGAATATGTACACATTTAAGTGAATTGTCATTACTTTAGGATTTTATCCCTCTAGCATTAATAGTACTGTGCTGAACCTAATATTGTAATACATTTTGAAAATGCATTAGCCTGATTTCTGCTTTTTTACTAAGTGCAGTTTACTAATATTCATAATTATAGGATCCTTGCACCCACTTTATCTGTGAATTAATTTTTTCCTATCTTCAGGCTGTGGAGTACAACATTTTTGAAGGGACGGAGGTACGTGGTGCCCCTCTGGTTGTGATCAGCCAAGGAAAAATTGTGCTGGAGGATGGGACCCTTCACACCACAGAGGGTACAGGCCGCTACATTCCCCGCAAGCCCTTCCCTGACTATGTCTACAAGAGAATAAAAGCTCGCAGCCGGGTGAGAATTTCCATCTTTCTGCAAAACAGTGTATACCCTTATGCCCAGGACTGCGTACTATGCTGCTGTACGGAAGCAAACGACAGGACTTTTCAGAAGTTTTTGCCTTCTTTTTTGTACACTTATTTAATTTGTAGGTTTTGCAAGAAAAATAAATTCTAAGACTGTTTACTTAGAAGGGATCACTTTGGGAATTAAGCTATATGGTCCATTCTTTAATGTAAAAGGCTCTTGATTCAACCTCTAACACTGCTCTGACTTACAGTATGTCATAGTTTGTAAGTTAGTGAACCTCCTTCTATTCCATACTTTGGGTTAATCTAAAACCATGCTCTTGTTGTAAGCAGCTCTGCAACAGCAGATGTTTGTGCATTATTTGCTTATTAAGAGCAGTCAAGATGATCATTTTAGCAAAAAATGTATGTTGGGTGTATTTATTTCCACCTGTTTTTGCTAAAAGAAAGCAATTCAAATTGACTGCCATATGATGTAATTACGGTTTGTAGTACTGAAAGCGTTGTTGGTGTTTCCAGCTGGCGGAGCTGCGAGGGGTCCCCCGAGGGTTGTATGATGGACCAGTGTGTGAAGTTTCAGTGACCCCAAAAACTGTCACCCCAGCCTCCTCTGCCAAAACCTCCCCTGCCAAACAGCAGGCCCAGCCAGTGCGTAACCTGCACCAGTCCGGGTTCAGCCTGTCAGGTGAGTTTATATACACAGATATACACTAAGCTTTGTGCAGTCTGTTGCACAAAGTAAAATAAGAAATGCTTAGCTTTCTAGACTACACAATTTGGAAAATACTGATGGATGATAAATATTTTATATTGTTTTTAATAACACTGTGTTTATTGAATGAAAAATAATGCCACAGAACAACCAAGGAACTATAACAACACAGTTGCACCCCTCTATAACATGTCTTTTGGACTCAATAATGAATTTCATATTATAAACACTTTATGACTGGTAAAGGATAACAAAGTTAGTGCAAAGGATACTTTAGTCCTGCAAAAGAACTTTAATCCAGTCTCTGTAGCTTTTATCTTAGTATAATTAAAATTGGAAGACTTAATTAAAATAATATTTAAAAAGCCAGTCTTTACAAAGTTTACTTTTTGGAAGATGTCATACAACTTTAATATTCATTTATCTAATAGCACGCCTCTACAAAAGCATCAAAGCTACCCCTTACTTTAAATTCAGGCTGATCTTCCAAGTCCCTGTTAAATTTCTCTTCCTTTGCTCACAATATTGTATCAGAGACTCCCTGTTATCAAAATCAAACTCCCTGTTAAGGTACCTGCAGAACTGAAGTGAATAGTCTGTTCCATTATTACAGTACATTTTTTCCATTGAGTTTCGCTACTCTATATTTTAGTTATTCTAAAAAAATTCTGCAGTGCATTTTAAAACTCCAGGTGGACGTTTGTCTTCTCTCACTTTGTCCACCTTCATTTGAGTTTCATTTTAACAAAGATGTGCTTCCTGCCATATTTCAGATTTTGTATCCGAAACATTCAAGTGAAATTGCATTGGGTTGGAAATGGAAGGTATACCAGTTAAATGCTATAAAATGTCATGTTATAATGGGGAAGTGTGTAACTGAGATTGGAGATCATAATTGCATTATTGGCTTACTTGTTTTATATTTTTTGTACAAAATACTTCTTTATAGGACAAGCAATAGTGTGTTTTGCATAAAGCACCTAGGGTCACAGAATGTAAATGATGTGTCACGTTATACTGTAATGTGCTTATAGTATTATAAAGTATAAAGTATTGTAAAGCTTCCCTTTTGATCCAACAAGACAAAATTAGTCTGAGACAAGGAGTATGTTATCATTTAGAGAACAGGGGTTTTATTTTTTCTTTACAGTTTTGGCTGCATTGTTCTTCTGGTTTCGTTTAATTTTTTGGGTCTTACAGGGGCCCAGATTGATGACAACGTCCCTCGACGCACCACTCAGCGCATTGTGGCACCCCCGGGTGGACGTGCCAACATCACCAGTCTGGGTTAAGCTGTCCCATTGGATAAACGGGGGGTTTGGAGGCGGGTTCTAGCATTGAGTTTGTACCCACCACCAAATCTGAGCCCAAGAAGGTCCCTGCCGTCTACCTGGCTCAGCCCCTCCCTACTACCTTATCCTCAACCCCACCCCCACTCCCCATCCTGCAACCCAATGTGGAGACATCTACTAAAATGAAATTAGTTGCCTCATTAAAAAAAGAACACTCCATGTCCGAGCACTCCAGACTGTATTATTTAGTGTTTTATACTGTGTTATCCTCCTGCCATACACCATTGTTTACGAAAAGGAAGAGTTAAGTGAATTAAGACTGAGCTGTTTTTTGTCTTTAATGAAAAGACAAAAAGGTTTCATTTGGGATCGTTTTTTGTTACACAGAAAGGAGGATTTCTATTCTTGTTATATTTAAGGATCAGTATTTCATTGTGGGGAGGAGTGGTGGGGGCTCTTCAGCAAAGTCTTCAAGGAGACTATTTATTTCTTTTTTATATGTTTTTATGTTATCTCTTTGTTTAAGGGTGCAGTCCCTTGAAATATTTTTGTTCCTTTCCTCACAGCAGGCCAAAGCATCAAAGGTGAGATATATCTGAGGTGAAGTTTTCCCCTGACATTTCCACATCCAGAGGCATTTGAGGTCCTACTTGGTTCTCTAAAATGTTTAAATGTTTTGTTCTGGAATGATGTTTAACCCTAAGTGGGCGTTGTCTATAAATTAAATATTAGATATGGTTGAAACAGCTGAGAGACACTAGGTACACTTCACCTAAAACAACATGTTTGCAAAGAAGGACTGAGGGTAATTTAATAGTATAGCTTGTTGGAGCTGTGTATAAGGTTTATATTTGAATGAATTAGACATCTATCATAAAGGTCAGAATAATATTCTAGACAAATGTGATAAATTCATTCATTCTTATACCCTTTTTGTCTTGCATTAGGCATGTGAAGAGTAGGTGTTACATGACTATTTAGAGTTCAGGGTAAACTCAGAATCAGCTTGCACTATAGAACACTAATTTTGCAGATCATGTCACATAATTCCATCTTTTTATTATACCAAGTTATTAAATTGTGTGGCTAAACAGTACCTTCAGGGTGTAATAAAAGGGTATTATTAACTGGGTTTAAAAACATTTGAGTATAGTCATCTTTCTGAAGTTAGGCACTATTAAATTGGCATCAGTTGATTTGTAAATACTAGATTTTTGTGCATACAGTATACTGCTTCTGTGAAAATGCAGATGTTTTCAAGTATGCTATCAGGTTCTTTTATTAACATAACTGTTACCTGTTACAGCTGTTCTGTAATTCCTGTAATAAAATTAACTTTCTGCACGGTTTGAGAATAAGTTTAAACATACTCCAATAAGCAAAACATTCCTTTTCCAAAAAAATTGAAATGGTGGATTACTGTACATTGGTCGAATTATATCCTTTTCTTCACACCATAGACATCTATAAATGTCAACATAGATCAAATAGCTGTTTGTAATCTGTTTTTCCATTAATAAATTAACCAAAACCAGTATAGATCACCTGAGAGATGGTATTAATTTCAAATGTGCCTATGCAATAAAAATTTTATAAAAAAAGCTTCCGCATTGGTATCATAACAGGTATGCAGGCTAAGGGAAAGAAGTGTTTGTTACCAGCAGGTTACTGCTTCTAACTAGCTTTGCCAGCAAGTAACTTGACCTCTTTGTCCTTTAGAAAACAGAGGGCTCTCAGAGAGAGTGACTAGCAATAGTTATTGACCCACTGATCTGTTAGAATCATTTTGGGTTCTAATCTTTTTGGATAAAACTATCTTTGGATAGTAATTTAAAGTTGACATATCCATGCTGAAGGAAACCCGTCTCTGGAGCTGTGGATATATTATGGTTCACATTGCTGTAACTATTTTTGAGAGGCTTAGAGAATATAATTTCTTGTTATGATGATTTATACAATGATGTACAATTTGCAGTATTTTAGTTTTTTTCTTGTAAAATTTGTTGGGTTTTAAAATTCAGAATCCCAGTTATATGAATGCCTTGAGTTTTTTACAAGACTTTCTGTAACTCAAAGCTCAGTAGTTCATCAGGAATTCACTTCAGTCTTCCTTTTCCTCTTCTCATTGATGCACTTGTTTTTTATCCTTAAGAAATGTTTATTTTAACACTTCAATCGTCTTGTTTTTTAAGAAAAAAAAGTTCATACTGAACCCAGAATAGTATATTGGCTGTTAGCATGAGTCTCCTATTCGCTTGCTTGGTGTTTGATTATGCAAATTGAAAAGAGGTAGGCAATATGGGGTTAAAAAAAGAAGTAATGCTTATTTCTTCTATTCCCATAGCTGTAAGCCTGATTTTTTAAAAGCGTGTACAGTGCAATTTGGCAAAGCAGTGGCTGTATTATCCTGAGACCAGAAGTATTTTGCTTGCTTTTCCATCTTTTTTTTTCCTTTGGTTGTCCAGCTGTTGTAGCAACAGGGTTGCCTGGGCAACATCTTTCAGCAACCATGCCTTAGCTCTTTGTTTGTCATGACAACAGAGTTGGATCTGAAGTTCACCTAGCAACAATCCTGGACCTGGTGCTATTAGAATAACATTGCATTTGGGAGTTGTTTGCCGTTTTTCTTTATATTAGAGGCACTTGCCATTTAAGAACCCCCTGAAGTGAGATCTTGGACTAAAGCATGATTATATTCATAGTCTTGTGAACTGGAGCAGAATTTTTTTTAATGATAGCCTCTATAGGCAATTGCTGTATGATCTTGCTAAATTCTGATAGTACCTTCTGATAGGGATTTTACAATTTAAGCTCATTTTTCCAAAGAATAATGTACATTTGGTTTAGGGGATCATTTTGAACTCATTTGCCTACCTCTTTTTTTATGTTGTCTAAAAGACAACTTTGGAATGGCACTCTTAAAGGACTGGTTTATATATTCCTTGTGTTCCTGTTATTTCTTGATTGATTTGTATTATAGTATTGATTTCCCTCTGCTGTTTAAGCTCACAGTATTTCTATGAGAGTCAATTCACTACTACAGTCTAGTTCTCTAAATCCATGACTCGGTGCCTGATGCAATGTGTTCTCAAAGCTGTTTGCTAGGAGCTGAATTAGGCAAGGAAAAGTACATCACCCACGTTCACTGGCCAAATGTTTTGCAGTTGGAATTGTATAATGCTGATGTGCAACACATGCCCTTAACATTTTGGCTTTCAAAGTCCAATATCCAGCTTTCGCCACAATAAGCAAAAATATCTGCAGTGGATGTCACATAGTATGTAAACAGGATATGAGACATGAAGAAATTGAATAACAGGAAAACATGGAGAATATAAACTGCTACTTTAAGTCCCCCTCACTCACTCCTCCAAGATGCTGTAGTCCTTCTAGTTTTGTCAGGTCAGACATTTCCATATCCTGCTAGTATGTGATGTAAGTAAAGCGCAGACTGAGAGTATTTTGGTGTCCATTTTTGTTTCACTATTATTTTGTTTTTCCCCGTTGTTTAAAGTAAAAATGTTGATGGTGTATGTTCGTAGGCTATGGGTTGGGATGCTTGTCTCGCTGGAAAGAATTCCATTGATGGTTAATTAAAAAATTAAAAAGATAAACGCTTTCAGTTCATTTCTTTAAGTACCACAATAATCTTGTTATATCCAACATGAGATCTCGTAATAAAATCTGGTGTTGTTTCAGTGTCTTGAGTCTGTACTTTTTATGAAACCTCCATGCTTAGAAGCACAATTTTGTCAGTGGGGCTGCAAAACACTGAAAAGACTAGAAACCAGATGGCTGTAAAGAGCAGTCTTGGCAAAATTATGACAAAAGGTTAGGCCCACTTTTACATGAATGATTTCTGTGATAGTAGCATGAAAGCATGGACTCTGCTGTCTCTTCCTGATTTGCTATTTCAATTCATTCCAGGTGTTCTGTTGTAATGAAGTTAGGATTCTTAATAGAAATCCCTTCAAAACCTCTCCTGGACTATTACTGTATGTTCCCCTCTTCATGCCACACATTACTGTAATGATAGATGTACCAGCCCTTACTATAAAATTGTCACTGCTGTCAACAGTTGACCAAACTGTCACAAAATGTGCTTGGCAGTCACAAGACCCTTCACAATAACCAATAGTTGTAGTCCAAACCATAAAAAGTATTCCAAAGACTTTGCAGCAACCTGTTGGCAAACACTCCCAGACTTGGGACGAACGGTGTGAACTTCTAGCTGTCTAAACCTTGTTGATGGGTGATTTTTAACTGGATGCTTTTTGTAGCAGCAAACTGCTACAAACATTTTTTTTAGCTAACACCCATGCACTCTTACTGTATGTACTGAATGATGTCTGTCAAAGCAGATAAGTGGTTTGTTCTCAACACATTGTGTCTGGTGTTTCGTCATCTTGTTTTTCATGTTACAATCTTAGACTGAAATATCCCAAAATCTTACAATACTGTTTTATGTTCCACACACTTCACCATGAAGTCTGGTGTGGTAAAATGTATGATGAGGCAACCGACTCCCACTTTATGTTGAAACTCTTTAAGCTACAATTAATGTGCCACGTTGGTGAAAACTGGATATATAGTTGCCTGTATATAATTCTGGACAGCTGCATATCCCTTGTGCTGTAGATAGCACACGTGTGGTACAAACTAGAAATTGTGGAGAATGGTGGTTTTTCCCTGTGCTTCTGACAGCGTAATGTATTTAAAGAGTATTAGTATTTGTTTAGAAAACTTGGCTCTAATGCCTGTGCATGTATAGCTTCCTATTCTTAATGTTCTTGGCTTTGGAAATCCGCTTGCTTCTGCTGTAGCCTTCTTTTATAAGTAATGAAGGCATGGAACATCTTTGCAGGGAAATGCAAAGCAATTCAGTTTGTAGTCATTCAAGTCTGCTGTTGTGCAATCTTGGATAACGATCACTTGAAATTCTCACCTGGGAATACACATCAAATTTGAGATTTTCCAAGAGGTCTACACATCAGCTAAAACAGTGTAAGATTACATTTTAAAACTATGTCTGCTGTTTTGTGAGTCTGTGTTTAAGTGGTGCAGAAGTTTAATTTTTATCATGTAAATCTAGCCAGAAGCAATTCCAAGCACTAGATGAATGAACTGCAAAACGTCTGCCAAAAATCTGCTTTTTATTGAGCCAGAATATGCAGGCATCAGGAAATTGCTGGAGCAAGGAGTGTTTGGGATATACACTCTTATTACAGGCCAACATGAGTCTGACCAATTGGCAAGTCTGAAAGAAGAAATGTGTTAAAACTCAAATTAAAAGGTGTCAGTCAATAGGAAAAAGAATGTGAGCTATAACACTGTATGATAATTTAATGAGTACAGGCTTTTTCATGAAGTAATTTATCTGTCTGCTGCTTCTATTTGTATTTCATTTTTAGTGAATAATTTAGCTACTTGTCCCCAGATGGGATTCCATCTGATGACCATGTGCTAAGAGGCATTCATGTCATCTGTATTAAAAAGACATTTTGCAGATGCTGGGTTTGTATACACATCAGAAATGATGTGATGTGATCAGAAAAAAGGGATCTCCTATTGTGTAGTTTTAAGACTAGAATTGAGGAGGACTACGTAGTCTTGTTGTTCAAAGCATTAAGTTATTGACATGAGTAGGAAAACAGCGCTACCTAGTGGAAACTAGTAAATTAAGACAAAACTTGGAGAAGTGGAGCCACCCGTTGTCCTTTGCCTGGGTGTCATAATCGGTCCTTTGTAAAATTACTGCATTTTTAAGGTAATTACAAAGTATAATACAATGTGTCTACTTAAAAGGCGAAGAGACGTTTTCTATTGAATAGGAGTTTAGTTGTTTAATTCAGTGGTCGGAGAAAATGTTAATGGACTGTAATATTTTAGGATTTTAGGACTCTTTTTAAACGGGTGTTAAATGCTTTTTCTGAATTATCGTTTTTTTCTCACAAGTAAAATAATGCTGTTAGGAATAAACAGTATGTCCTGGGTACATTTTAAGACCGTATAGGAGAATCTGCACAGATTTGTTTTATGTAAACGCGGCATCGTGCTGCCCAGTGGTTAGGGGAACTGCCTACCAGTTCTTTAAACCAGTTCTTTTTTTTGCGTGATGACGTGCGTGGGTTTTATCCGGGTGCTCCCGTTTCGTTCCACATTCCAAAAACATGCAGGCAAGATTACTTGGCGTCTGTAGTATGCCCCCTTGTGCTTGTGCTGTGTATGAATGTATGTGCATGAGTCAGGTGTCCAGTTCAGTTTCCCCTTGAAATCTGTATTACCCTGCGAAATACTCATGCGCCGTTATCTCATGGGACGCATGATTTTTCTCATTGTCCACATATACAATGATTTATATATATATATAACGCGTAAAGACAAATCACATTTCCTTTATGTGCTTTCTTTCGGGTTCCCCTGTCTTTTGGAAAGACTCCTTTTATCAATTTCGTGATAAACAAAGGCATAAAAACGCGCCTATATCTGTAAGTATCCCGAAAGGTTTTGTGGAGCGTGTGCACATGGGGGCACAGATTTCAAGGGGAAAGTAAATTGGATACGACACCGGCAATGGATTGTGGTCCTATTAAGTGGTAGTCCTGCCACGCACCCAGTTTTTCCGGGGGTAGGCTCACTAGGCTATCGTGAGCCTGGATTACAGGGAATAGAATGATGATGATTTTCCAATGATGGGAAAACCTACGATTTTGCCCTGTTTTCGCGACGCCATCCAACAGTATGTCAGCAGCTATGTCAATTGCAACTCACAACTGGCAACCCACTGAAGCCTGGATGGGAGACCTCCTGGGAAAGCTAAGGTTGCTGCTGGAGTGTTAGTGGAGCCAGTAGGGAGCTCTCACCCTGCGGTCTGTGTGGGTCCTAATGCCCCAGTATAGTGATGGGCACACTACACTGGAAAAAAGGCGCCGTCCTTCAGACGAGACGTAAAACCGAGGTCGTTACTCTCTGTGGTCATTAAAAATCCCAGGGAGCTTTTCGAAAAGTAGGGGTGTTAACCCCTGTGTCCTGGTCTTTACCATTCATGGCCTCCTCATAATCCGCATCTTTGAATTGGCTTCATCACTCTATTCTCCTCCCCACTGATAGCTGATGTGTGGTGAGCGTATTTGCGCACTTCGGGTGCCGTTGTATCATCCAGAGGGGTGCTGCACGTTGATTCCCCATTACCCATTAAACGCATTGAGTGGAGTGTCCGGGAAAGCGCTATATAAGTGTAAGGATGATTATAGTAGATTAATATATTTTCCACCTGCAAGCCATGTTGCAAAATTATTTTTCTAGCACAATTGTTTTTGATCGTTTCTATTGAAAAACAAAACGTTGCTCCTTTTTAAATCCTGTCCCCCAAAACACTATCTTCCATATTATAGTTTAAATATACTGTACTCAAACCGCAGTAATGTTTTTATAATTTTTTTAATCACTTCAAGATTTGTTCAGACAGCCTGCTAGTCCACATTAATCCACTAGGTGGAAACCTATCATTAATAAATACTTTATAGGTTTAGTAACGCTTACAGATGTATAACTTCATCTTCTACAAAGTAGCAGCTTTCGCTGGTAAGTTAGCTGCACATTAAACGTTTCCAATTAAGATCAAACAAAAAAACTGCTATCAAGATTTTTTTTTCCAAATTTTGATATACCGTATAATATGAGGTTCTACCCATGATTATGAGGAGATTTCCAAACGATAACTAAATAACCAACAAATCAAGAACCGCTTAACAATTACCTTCATATCACTCACTTCACGTTGTGGGCACATTTCCAGACCTGTCATTAAATCTGCTGTACAGGTAGGTATCAAGCATGTTTTACTGCACGAACTTTGGAACCAGTGCAAGTAGCATGCAGTGCTTTTTACAAACTCTGGGTATAATGTATAAGCTTTTCACCAGTTCGGCATGGCTTTGGAATAACAAAAGCTGATAAATAATAAACTAACATAACATAAAAGTGCCACTGCAGGAACCAACGCCTGTTGTAAACATAAGGACTGTGACCGATACTAATATTATAATGTAATGCATTAATGTAATATTATTATGACAGTTGCCCTGTGAACAGCCATGCCTCTTCATCTTCCCTTTGCTCTTATTGGTAACAGAAATTAGAATACAACACATATTGTGTATATTACTTGATAAAAATATAGAAACATTCTTTAAATCTGCCCTTACTTTTAGGAAAGGGAGACACTCGTTTTTTTCAACCTAGGCTTTACATATTTGGATTTTACCCAAAGCAAAGTCAATTAACTGTTTCGTAAAAAAAAAATTCCCACTGCAAAGTATTAAGCTTCATCAACAGGGTTTGTGCTACCTCTCACACTGATGAGTTCAGCAATGAAAATGTATTCCCCTTTTTCAATATATTGCAGCCTTTATTACCAAAGATTTTTCCTTCCTTTAGATTATTTGGAATACAAAAAGTCTTAGAGTCCAGCAACATGATCTTCAAAGACAACTTTATTATTGGGCTGCAAGTATCTGTAATGAAGCCTGTTGGTTGCAAGGCTGTCCCCAGCATGAACAGCTGGAATGGGTAGTTTTGAAGAGGCCTCTTGAAAAGGATACTCTTTGTCTGAATGTTATGTTCTTCCATTCTATTTTTCTCTTTTCAGTACTGCACGAACCTACTGCATATTTCCTGTCTTTGAAATATGTCTGTCAT